AAAACTTGTAAGCTAAGTGTCAGAAGTCAAGGACCACCTGTGTATCTCCTCAGGTCAGACGGCAGTGATCATGTTACAGATGCTCTGTGTAATTCCACATTTCTTTGCACATGCTTTGAGAGATGATGCATTTAAAAATAATTAGTCTATGTTTCTGGACACACAAGATGTAAAGATGAAATTTTGTGACACTGGCAACTAATACAAGTGGGGGCGGTATAGATGTGACAAAACCCGGAGTTTCTGTTTGCTATTTCAGTGAGGCTGGTCTGAATCCAAATTACAGTTGTGACTTTAGGAATTTCTTCTTTCTTTCATATCCATGACATAAACAATTTTGTTCTACTACACATTTGTGCCCAGATGGGCTGCCACCATTTATGGACTGAAACTTCCAAACCATCAGCCAAAATGGACCTTTCCACTTTATAAAGTGATAATCTCAGGTGTTCATTATAGTTCTGGAAAACTGACACAGGTATCATCAAACATTATTCAGCAGTGAAAAGAAATAAACACCTACCATGGGGAAACACAAATGCTTGTCACATTCAGTGACAGATTCAGTCTGAAAGGCATAGGTACTTTATGATTCCAGCCACATGGCACTCTGGAAAAGGAAAAGCTATGGAGAGACAGTCAAAGCTTGGAGCTGCTGGAGCTTTGGTTGGCGGGAGTGAGAAATGGAAGTAGAAAGGCAAGGTTTTTACAGCAGAGAAACTACTCCTGAGGGGCTGTGTCATTATACAGCTCTCAAAACTGGTACCAAGTACAGCACCAAGAGCAACCCCTCATGTAAGCTATGGACTTTAGATAATAATAATGCACACTACCAACACGGCAACCGTGACAAACGTGTTACAGGAGTGCAGATGCTGGGCACAGGGGAAAGGGTAGCGTGGCCAGCGAAAGAAATAACTGGTAAGCTGCACCTCATTGAAATTAAACTCCTGCCCTTGCAAAGACACTGCTGAGACTGCGACAGTACAACACGGCAGGGGAAGTGTGTGCAAACCCTCCACAAGCACTGAACTGTCTGTACTTTGTGATCATGTTTATGCGAAGCTAGACAAGCCGGTTAAATAACAAAAAGACATGATTCACATTTTACTAAAAAGGACAGATAAATGGGAAACAAGTACATGAAATTATATTTGACCTCATTCGTGATCACAGAAATTATGGTCATGAGGAGATATTACTATATGCCTACTGAAACAGGAAAGGTCAGCCAGATGTGGTGCTGTAGTCTCAGAACCCTGGGAGGCTGAGGCAGGAGGATCTCAAGTTTGGGCAATTTAGCAATTTAGGAAGACCTTGTTTCCAAAAACAAAAGGTCCTAGAATGTAGTTGATTTTGAAGGTCCTAGGTTTGATCTTCAGTATCACAAAAACAAACAAACAAATAAACAAACTGGTGATAATTAATTTAAAATGTTCAGTGTAACACCTCACAGTAAGGGAATGGATAATGTGGTACCAAATTTCTGTGGTACAGCTGTGAAAAGAAATAAGACATAACCCCAGGAGGGACCTCAAGGACATTAGACTGAGTTTTAAAAAGTGAATCTGAGCTGGGCATGGTGGCTCACATCTGTAATCCCAGCACTTGGGAGGCTGAGGCAGGAGGATCTCTGAGAGTCTGAGGCCAGCCTGAGCTATAAAATGAGTTCAAGCTGATGTGAACTACACAGAAAAACCTTGCCTCAAAAAAAAAGAAAAAAAAGTCACATGCTCTATGATTCCATTTATAGTGTCTTCATAATGACAGGAGCATAGAGACAGAATGCAGACTGCTGATTGCCACGATAGATGATGGGAAGCGGAGAGAGAGAGGCACTAACAGTCACCTTATAGAGCAAACCTCTGTGGGGATAAAACATTTCAATGTCCTGATGGGAGGGTAGTTACACGGATCAGCCCCTGACCTGCACGGACAATGTACCTATCCATTTTCCTGGCTTTGACACTGCCCTGAAGTTATCCAACCTGCAATCATGGGGGAAGTCACGAAGGGTGTGGGTTTCTATGCGCTAACGTCACCATTTTCCATGAAAACACAATTACTTCAAAATAAAAAGTTAAAATTTTTCAATATTTAAAATGATATGCTTATCACCTGGGCAAAGCTAAAGAGAGAATCAGCAAACTGTAAATGGTTCAGATTAAAGTGTGGAGATCTTTTTTGAGTGATGGAAAACATATAAGCAAGCAGAAAAGATATTTGACGCTTAGTAGAGAGCTCTAACTTATGTGTGATCAGAGTTCCAGATGGGGAGGAGGAAAGAAATGAGCAGAAGTAAACTTTGAGCAGTCATCAGGTAAGTATTTCCCCAAACTGACTAACGACAAGTTAGAACCAAGAAGTTCTGGGAAACCCAAGAAAAATAAGTGGAAAGAAAACAATTCTCTCGCATCACAGTCAAATTGTTCAAGAACAAGCATGAAAAGCTAAAGTCAGCACAAGCATTTGGAAGGCAGCACGGGAGTCACACTGCCATGTGTGTTCCTCACCCGATCAGCACTACGTCTCAATAGACCCCCCGGGTGAAGGAAGTCAACACACACTCAGGCAGCTGCCACCTCCAAGTTTTATACCCAGCAAGCCTAACATTCAAAAATGAAGCCAAGATAAAGACATTTTCAGAAAAACAAACACGGAGGCAACTGTCAGCATCAGACTCACACTATCTTATAAAGAGAAATTTTTAGACAGAAAACAATGACAGGGAAACGAGAAAATGGAATGCCATCAAACACCTGATTAATCCAAGGCAAAAACAGTTTTAAAAGATTGCATAAGAGATATATTAAAAAAATAGTGGATGGCGTCTGTAAGTGCCAATGATTAGCTTATGTATAAAAAGACCAAGTAGGCATTGACTATCACAGTGGATTTTAAAATGAATTTAAAAAGAGCAATGATCATGAATGGAGTACACAGGAAACAAGAGAGCTGTAGCCAAAGGTGGAAAAATACATCAGGCAAACACCGATGGAAATCTGAGGTAATTACAACAAGAAGTGTCAGACAGCAGACAAGGGCGGAGGACCATCGCTAGAGATAAAAGGCACGTTGCCTGGCAACAAAGCATTTCCATCAAAGACAGATGCCAACTGGAAATCTGCATGAACCTTGTCAATACTCTTCAGAATCTATATGAAATCTGACAACTGGAAGAGAAGAAACAGACACACCTACCATCATCGTGTGAAGTGGTAAAGACGCCCTCAGTAACCAGCGTTCATTTCTTTTGTCATTGGAGGATTAGAACTGGTTTTATGTTCTCTCTGGCCTTATTGTATCTGAAACTGGCTGCCACACATCTTATGAGTTTTAAGTACGGATTTTGCCTCTATGCTTCTTGATATGTAAGTTTTCTTTTATTGTAAGATTTACTTGATAATATATGCTGTAAGTGGTCCTTACCAGTATTTGCCTTTTAATATTACTTATGAGTTTTGTAATTATTCTTTTTGAGACAGGATCTTGCTCTAAAATCTAGGCTGGTGTTGAACTCACTATGTAGCCCAGGCAAATCCTCCTGACTCAGCCTCCCGAGGACTGTGTCACCATACCTGGCTTTGTGATTTTTATAAAATAAAGTGTTCCTATTACTGTATGTGACATTTCTTCCATTGCTTTCACTCTTCAAATCTAACGGAGCATATTTCAACAGATTTAACTTTTCCTAGACATTCTAGTACTCTTCATACTGAAACTATAGGTTCTAAAACTAAACAGAGTTCTTTTAAATAATACTAAAAGCCTATGCGTAAATGTTAAAGGTGATCCATTCTCCTCCTCCAAGTTGTCTTCCCTCAAATCCTTATTATCTGAGGCACAGTCACTTCGCCATGCCCTCGGGCTTCACATCCATAGCTTCACTCAACCATGGATCCAAAATACTTCAAAAATGAGCATTTGTGCTGAGTTGCGGACTTTTTTCTTGTTACCGTTCCTTAACACAGTGTCACAACTATTTCCACAGCATTCACTGTGCATCTGGCACCTGAGCCATTCAGAGATTGAAGGGCACAGGAAACACGTGTGTGATTCGTGCAAATCCAACATGCAGCGACTGTTTCTAGTGCCTGGATCCCACCGTGTTTGAGCGTCCTTGGATTTGGTCTCTGGGGGTCTGTGGGGCGAATCTCCCACAAACAACAGGGAACAGCTGTGCTCTCCTAACGCCTGATGACAGTCAGGCATTGTCCCAGGAGCTAACGCACACCTCCGCTCTCATGTCCCAAGCCACACACATCTCGGAGCCCTGAGGCTGCTGGGAGATTGCCAGCGCCTTGCTGCACCCCAAGATTCTGGCTAAAGGATCGGGAAGCACAACGTTTTTTGAGAGCTCCCAGGTGACTCTAATGCCAGCCAGGCTGAAGGCTGCAGAGGGGTGCGAGGCAGGACAGTGACCATCCTGCTGCGGCCACGGCCTTGGGAGCACACTGCCACCCCCACTGTGCAGTCCCCGGTCTCTCCCATTGACAAACACGTGTCCCGCGGGCCACCAGGCTGGGGGGCTGTTGCTGTGTAACTGCCGTGCTCATCCGGGTGATGCGTCTCAGTATTCACCGAGCATGGCCGGTCTGGGCATCCCCACCTGCCCGGGTCACTCTCAGAATTCCTTGGCTACTGAGAGCATGGACCACCACACAACAGCAGTCAAGGTCAGTCACTGGGGTCCCTTCAGCCAACCGCAGCTCGGGCTCAGTGGAATCCTCCAAGCTCAGCCTGGTGTGTGTGGTATGCACACTGGGAGGCTGAGGCAGAAGGGTCGTAAGCTTGAGTCATAATCTAGGTCATTCTGCGGCCGGGCAAGGTCCTGGGCCACGCAAAAAGTGCTGAGGACGCAGCTCAGCGGACAACTACAGCCTGCCTGGCCGCGGACCAGCCTGCGAAGTGGCTCTGCTGTGCACGCGCACGCGCGGGCGCACACACGCATGCATGGGCACGCACCCCGGGGCCCCACCGGCACCAGGCTGGTGACTTACAAAGAAAGGAATCAGCCCGGCTGCCTTGTCGCGCTCCAGGGCCTCCCGCAGGGCAGAGGCTCGCATGGCGAAGTTGCTGTCAGAAGGGATGAGCTTCATCCTCACCCCGCCGATGAGCCCAGCCCGCTCCACAGACGAGTGTGCCTGGGAGGATGAGGAGGCAGACGGGGTGGACGGTGAGTGCTTGCTGGAGCCAGGTTTCTTCACTGTTTTGTCTTTTGCAGTTCTGCGCTTGAATCCAGGACCTTTGCCTTGAGCTATACTCTCAGCCCTTCTTTAATTTTTTATTTTGAGCAGCATCTCTTCAAACTGCTGAACTACCCAACCTGTGTTCTAATGCTCAAACTTGGGATCCCCCTGCCTAAGCCTCCCCAGTGCTGGCATTATGGGCATGGGCCACCAGGTCCTGCTTTTTTTTTTAACATAATTTTCATCTGTGGTGGGTTGAACCCCCGGACCTGGGCCCTGTGGATTCGGATATAGCACCACCGCAGGATGGTCCACCCTCCTCAGGACTGTGCAGCACATCTGCTCTGTGGGGGAGCCCCTACCGTTGGTCCTGCGAACCCTAGGCCCTCACCTGATCCCCCAGGACATGGGCACCACACCTGCAGGGTAGCTGTCCTAGGCCGCTCAAAGCAGAGTGGCCCAGGTCTCCAGCCCCAGCCCCTTTTGGCCAACACTGGCTGTCACTCTCTTCAGCGACCCTCCAAGGCCCCTGGCCCCAGGGGAAGAACCCTGGTGAAAAGCAGGGACAGAGTGCGTGGGGCTGGGACATGCAGGACCCGCTCCTCCTGACGAAGCGCTGAAACTCAGGTGGCATTTATTTCAGGCTCACAGCCACCGTCAGGTGCATGGCTTAAGGGACTCAGTACAGGAAAGCAGGCTGACGAAGCTGGGTTGGGGCCTCTCTGCGGGACCCGATCGCCTGGCGTGCCTCGGTCTATCCCTGTCTCAGCCTTCATTTTCTCTTGGGATTGTCCTCCTCCCACTGGCTCCTTCACACTTGCTCCTGGGTTTTTTGTGCTTGTTCCCCCCGGGGACCCCTGTTCCTCCTGTCTGCAGTTTCCTGCACCCTTGGAGCACTACAAACCCCTCCTCCGACCAGCTGAGCCCCAGATAGGCTGTGACTCTGAAATGAAGACCCCGAGCACGTCCCTGCAGTGCCTGAGACCCAGAGCTGGGGTCAGCAACGGGAGCTAGAGGGAGGCCCAGCCCTGTGTCCACCTCCTGCCACAGGGACCAGGAATCCTGTGCTGGGGGTGGTACCTCTTCCTTGCCCTCCCTGGGGAACCGTTCTCTGGCTGCCAAGGAGGCTGAGCTTATGGGGATCAGGATGAGAGAGCTTGCAGTGCTCAGGCCAAACCCCACCCACCGCACTGACCTGGTCTGATGCGTAGGCCACTAGCTTCTCCATGATGGCAGCCTGCGTCAGCTCAGGGGAGGCAGCCTGCAGCCGTCGGATCACTTTGGTCCGAGCAGCCAGCAGGGCCACCAGGGTGGCTTCACTGGCACTCCCCTGAATCCAAGAGAAAAGTACAAATGAGATACAGGGACTTCTTCCAGCCAAGTGGCACAGAAGTCTCCCAGATTCATCCCTAGAAGCTGGCGGCGCTCGCAGTGTGGCCCCCTTTAATTTAATAGTCTCGGGTTAAAATGTTTGACAAACAAAAGGAGGTTTGTGTTTGGACCAGAAAAAGGGGTTAGAAGAGAATAGAATGCCACAGAGAAATACCCAGTGCTGAGTAGAAATGCTAACTTCTTTTGGTAGTACCAGGGATTGAACCCGGGACCTTTGCACTGTGCTGCATCCCCAGATGTGTGTGTATATGGGTGTGTGTTTGCTTTGTTTTGTTTTTAATTTTTATTTTTAAGTTAAAACAGACTGGGCTCCAGTATCTATTCTGGGCTCCAATTTGGAATCCTCCTGCCTCAGCCTCTCAAAATTCTGGGATTGTAGACAAGTTGTACCACACCTAGCTCCTCCTAACATTCTGTCCTTCTTTCATTAATCTCGACTTCCTTGGCCGGTTTTTACTGACTTGCTGCGTTTCCTACTGTTTTCAGCTGACTCCTACTCCTTGCGGAAGTGGGTAAGATTCAGGAAAAATACATGTGCTCATGTTGCTGTAGCTCTGATGCAGGGGTTTGGACAGACAGACCCACGCTCCCCTGAATTCCGCACCTACAGTGGGTCTTGCATTTCCTTCAGATCACGTTTTCCACTTTTCCTCCAGTTTTTGTTGTCATGAGGAACAGTCTTCGCTAAGGGTTGAGACCATGAGAAAGAACTTGGATGGTGAAGCAGAGTGAAACCCAAGCCCCGGGAGGCAGGGGCTACAGTTGGTGTTCCCTGCTTGTACCCTGTTATCCCTCCCCACGGAGTCTTGCTTCAGCCTGCCCCTCCTGCAGGCTCCTGTCAGACACTCAGCCGCTGAAATACGGACCAGGCAGTGGGGTGGGTGGGGGGGCCTCCATGCAGTCACCTCAACGCTCACCTGTGGTGGTGGCTGCCCCGAAACCCTGCTCTGAGTCCCAGGGGCCCCGTCTTCCCTCTCTGTCAAAGAAGAGGCTAGGACTCATCCTGGATAAAATGCTGCTGCTTAGGCAACTCCAAGTCACTTTAAAAACAGAACTTGGAGATCGAGCCCAGGATGGTGCCAGGTCGGCTGAGGCCAGCACAGCCCCAAAGGGTTTCCATGTCCTCTGCCACCAGCTTAAGAGGAGGGTGGTGGCTCTTTGGTGACAGGAGTGGCCAACCCCTACTGCCTCTGCCTCAGGACAAAGGTTGCCATGGCAAGGTGCGGGAGGCTGGCTGGAGCCGAGCAGCCTGCACTTCTGTGGTCTGATTGCTTCAAGCGTCCCTGACACATGGCAAGCAATTGGTGTCTTTGTCCCCACACAAGCTTTCAAACCCAATTAAGAGCCTGCTCCAGCAGGCCTGGCTCAGCCAGCTGCACAGGGAGGTGGATCGCTGAGCCCACACGCTATTGCTGTGCGGAAGACAGATCAATAAAGGGACCTGGCTCAGACCGTCCCCAGCTTGCTGTTCCAGTGGCTCACAGACCCTGACATCAGCCCTGTCATGGTGTCACTAACGGAGGTGGGGGGATCGCTTTCACCAAGCACAGGGGCTGCCTGTGTCTCCTGCAGGCTGCTCAGTCTTCACAAGAAGATAGTTTAACCCACGGCCACCTGCACGTATGCAAACGGCCAGGGACTGGCTGGCTTAGCATCGAGTCTGCTCCACACTAGCTATGCACCAGCTGTATCTCAGCATCGTTTTTCAGTTCTTTATTCTGAAACGGGTCTGGCTAAGTCGCCAAGTGGCCCAGGATGGGCTCAAGCTCCTGCCTCAGCCTCCATAGGACTGAAATTACGGGGCTGTGCTGCACCCCAGCTTCTGTTGCTTTTAATTCACTTTTGACCTCGATCCTTCTGTGCCTCTGCTTCACCTCATCAGCTGAAACATGATTAACAGAAGAACCTACTTCTCACTCTGGAGCAGAGAAGCAGGCTGTTTGTGGAAGGGGGTCAGTGAGAAGGACAGAGCTGGCTCTGGGTGGGAGGAGGCGAGACAAGTACATGGTTTTCCAGAAGTCCCTACAGGGTGGAAGGGGTGAGGAAGTGGGTTCTCCCGGGCCTGCAAGTGCCAAACTGGCTTTGAGCCCAAACACCCACGTCAGACTTCGACCTACAGAACCTTAAGACAATGAAGCCATTTGAAATCCACTAAAGCCAGGCATAGTGGTGTGCACCTGTCCTCCCAGTACTCTAAGGAGGCTGAGGCAGGAGGATAGAAAGGGGAGCCCAGTCTGGGCCACTTAGTGATTTATCAATATCCTCTCTCAACATAAAGGGAGCGGGGCTGCAGCTCAGTGCACCGGCCCTAGATTCAATCTCCAGTGCTGAAAAAAAGCCACTAATACATGTCAGCATGATAGCAACTTATCATAGCAGCCACAGAACATGAGAGCATAGAGAGTTTAGAGGTCCAGAAACCAGGAGCTCTGCAGCATGGGGCAGCTGGGCCACCCCGCAGGGATCTCCGAGAGGGGCTGTCCCCAGTCTGTGCCTCAGTGTACCCAACAGTGCAGCTACCATAACTGATTGTCACCTCCACTAAGAAAGCAGAGGACAAGAAAAGAATCCTTGTTCTCCGGAGTAGACAGTGATCCTGGGGCTCTGGGTGACCCAAGACAGCACAAAAGGGGCCTTCCACGTGGTTCAGCCCCTATACTCGAGCAGCTTCGAAAACACACCGTTTTTGAGTCAGCCTGGAACATCCACCCTGCAGACCCAGAAGGGACAGGAAATCCATCACGGCATCCTGCATGTCCTCAGTGGACGTAAGCCAGGCAGCCCTCACAGCCACAGTGGCGTCCAAAGGAAAGCAACCAGATCACAGACAGCGGCTCTCAGAGCTGGGAAACCAGGCCACTGCTGTCACTGGGGCTGATGAGAGCTCCCACGATGCTGGTGAGACCAAAGGCCTGAGTCACACAGGAAGTGCAGGTTACCCTTGGGAGGCATGGGGGGCCGGGGTGTCATTGGATGTTCTGTGCTTCTGTGTCCCCTTGTGAAAAATAGGGCTCACCTAGGGAGCTGGACAAGTCTGGAATGTGGGAACCTCAAGGCTGGCACTGGGGACCCTGCTCAGATGGTGGCCATGTTGCTGTCTATGCTTCTGTTCCATGTGACCAACTGTCCTATGGTCCTGGGCCAGGAACCCCGGCAGGGCAGGGGTCCAAATCCACTCTGTCCACTCCGAGACCAGCTGGCCCCAGGGCTCCCCATGCAGAACACTCGGGAGAAAGACAAGGACACAGCTAGCAGGTCACAGCTCCCCAGATAGTCCCCAGGCCTGTGGTCCGTGCAGTCCTCACCTGGATCACACCTCCGCCCATGCCGGCATTCCCAGCCAGGAAGGCATCCGGCAACCGTAGCATCTTCCCCAGCCAGTCCAGCATCACAGTCTCCAGCTCCGTGCACGCCGGGCTGGCCGCCTGCGGAGGGGACGTGAGCCAGAGGGGGTGGCGGACCGGGGCAGGCCGGGTCCCCACCACTCTATTTCCTCAATCTAAGGGAACCCAAACATTAGAGAGCACAGCAGCAGAGGGATGCTGGAAAATCGGGAGCAAGAGGGGGAGATGAGGGACCTGGGGATAGGAGAAGAGAAAAGAACTGGAAAGCTCCAGATGCAACCTGTGAGTGTCCCAACCCCAGCACAGATGCAACCCTTACTGTCACAAGTGTAAGCTGCCAGTGAAAACTACATTTTTAAATTCAATTTCTAAAAATCAAATATTTTTAAAAATTAAAAAATTTCAAAATCTTTCCAAAATTGCCCTTCCGAGTAGGAGGCATACAGTACAGTGTGACAATGCCTCCCGCTTGCAGGAGTCCAAGGCCGAGTCCCCCTGGGGGAACTAGGCCACGCGGGATCCCAGAACCAACTAGGCCGGCATCCCAGCAGCGGCCCAGGATGAAGGCCGGGCAGTACTTCGTCTCTGCATTGAGCTTAGTCAACTCCCTGTTACAACCCTGGGCTCCAGGACCACCAGCTACAAGAATGTCCGGAGCCCCAGGGACAGCAGGGGCTCATTCCTCGGTGGGGGGGGGGGGCAGGCAGCACTGACACTGAGGGTAACATGAGGACAACCCTCCCTCCTGCTCCAGGACCCCCAGGTCTAGACGGGAAGCCCATGTCTCTGTGTACAGGGCTCTGCCAGCCTTGGTGGGTCCCCCTGAATGTCTGCATTGCACTTCTCTGCCTGATTTAGGTCACAGGAGGGAAGCTGTGATGGTCCCTGGAGCTATCATCCTACACATGCATGTGCACACACATGCACACGCACACACACCACGGATTCCCTGATGTCCCCTCCTGTCAGATCAATGGTGTGTCAGATTCTCACAGGATCACAGCACCTGCTGCAAACTGCCTGTGGGAGGGGCCCAGGTTGGGGTTCTGACAGGAACCCACGGCCCAATGATTCCAGATGGAACTGAGGCAGGGATGTTAGTCTCAGCTAGCATGGTGGGCTACTGGCAGGAATCACAAAAACCCACTAATGAGCAACGACCCTCTACTACCACCCATGGAAAAATTCCCTTCCGTGAACCCAGTCCCTGGTGCCAAAATGTTTGGGGACCTCTACTTCAGGTGCTGGGAATGCAGCAGACATTGCGGAAGGGATTCACCTGTAACTCAGCTCCCATCCTCTCGGATGACCCTTAGGTGGCTGGAACCAGTCCCCTTGCCTGAGCCACATACAGGAGGGTAGCTGGGAAGGCACCTAGGTACCCCTCAGCCTCCACCCAGGCAGGAGATGTGTCTGTCTGCTTGGTTACAGAGGTCCCAGAAAGGCCCACCACGGACATGCTTCCTGCTTGATGTGGGAAGAGCCCAGGATATGGTAGCGGGGACACCAGGCAGTGCTGGCCTGTGCCTGTGTGGCTCCGCCTTGCAGACAGTACCCTCTTCTCATGCACAGGGGGCCTGAACCCATCCAGAGTTGCACTGCATCTCCCTGCCGGCCTCTCAGACTCACCCATGGGTCCCCTACCCCTTCCAGAGCCCAGAAGAAACCAGTTCTTGCTAAAATAGCAACAACAATTTGGAGATCACTACCAAGTCACCCTGCAGGGACAATATCCCCCGATCTGCAAAGCCTCACAGATCCTGCTATGACACCTTAGAAGAGAGCCTCTCAGCCCAAGCAGACCACCCTGTTCCCACCAGCAGAAGGGCAGTGGAGGGCAGAGAAGTGGCACTGGCCACTGTGGCAGCACCTGGGACCTTCTGTGCCCTTCTCTTACCTGGAGAAGAGCAGCTGCCAGGTGGCTGAGGTCACTGGCCAGGCTGGACTCTGCTAACCTATTCTCCCTCTTGTGTCCCAGGTCCTCATAAAAGAGCTCAGGTAAACACCTGTACTGCAGCCACCCAGTGCCCATGCATATGCAGGTGGCCAGGTGGAGCCAAGGTGGGAACTGGCTTGGGAAAAGCTTGGGAGGCTACTCTAGAAGCTGTACTCTCCTGACCACCATGTCTAACCCGAGAAACACAGCTCGGGCTATGCTGTGCTTCAGTTTTTGATCCCAGATGAATTGGGACTGGTGACCTGTGTATGGGCACTGGTGCCTTCTGGACAGTCCTGCTTCGGCTGCCTGATGGGCCAGGATTTTCCTGGTAGCAGTCTGGCAGACGGCAGAGTTCTTGAGCTCTGGAATGTATGAAAATCCCCCAGGGGAAATGCCGACTCCTTGATTTCAACTCAAACCAAATGCTTATGAAAAACAGCCCTGGCCAGCAAGGTGGCTTGTGCTCACAGCCCTTGGGACGCTGAGGCAGGAGGACTGCAAGTTCAGGCCAGCCTGGGCAACTTAGCAATTTGGAAAGTGTCAAAAATGAAAAAGCCTGCAGGTGTAGCTCGGTGTAAAGGACCTGGGTTCAGACCCCAGTACCACAAAATAAAACAACAGGCCTGTGCAGGACTGGCTTTGGGTTCTGAGGGTTCTCAGAAACCCTTCTCCTTACCCATTCCCATCCGTTTCAAGTCTGGATCTGCTCAGAAGCTTCCGCTCAGGGCCAAGTCCTCCTCTCCCTCCCACAGGTGGCTCCACTGTTCCACAGTCCCCACACCAGGCCCACAGGGCACTCACCCAGGAGAAGCCGATGCAGCTGATGGCCCCGCACAGCATGTCTGCGAGCATGGATGGGTATGAGTTGGCCGTGGGGAAGTAGGCAAAGAAGTAGGGGCTGTTCCAGTGTGTCACCTGCAGGGCAGAGCCGTCACACGGGTTGGGAACCCAGTGATCAGTGCTCCTGGCAGCCTGGTGCGGGTTCCTCTACTGACCCTGGCCTTGACCCTAATGCTGACCCTGACCCTGGCCCTGACCTTTCCACCCAGTAGGGTGCAGCATCCACTCCCAGCTTGCCATCCCCTTCCCCCCCCCCAGACTCCTTTTTCATACTCAAGTGTGTCTGCCCTTTCCCCAGATGTAAAGGCACTATTCTTGTTTGCCACAATGCGTGGGCCATTGTAAACAAGGTCTCTACACACCGCACTGCTCTACAGGCTCACCGAGTGGGGGTCCGCTCTGCTGGCTGTGTCCAAAGCTTGCTTTTCCTCAAATAGCTTTGAAGAATTAAGTCAAGGTTTAAAACGTCCTGCATTTCAGGTCCCACCTCCTGCTCCTCAACCAGCAGTGAAGCTGTTCCCTGCAGTCTAGCACTTCCAGAGTCCGGCACCCTCCCAACTTCTCTGTCCCCTGCCGGGCCACTATCACCAGGCGTGGACTTTGCCCAGTGCAAGCTGAGTTTGTATCAACCACACTGAAGGTGGTGGTCAGGGTGCCCACTCACTCAGCCTGGGTGCAGAGCCACATAAGTGGTCACTTGGGCAGGGGAGACCCAAGGAGGAGAAGTATCCATGCCCCTCACTGGCTGCCTTGGAGTCTGTGTGATGTGGGCCTGGCTCTCTCATTTACTCCCTGGATGGATTTAGGTGGAGGAAGAATGGAGGGTTTTGTGGCCAGGTGGCCAGAAGATGCCACTTAGCCCCCCACCCCGGGGCCCTGACTAGGAACCTACACTTACCCCCGGCATGATTATTCTTTCGATGTCCCCAATGATGTCCTCGTATGTCTCTGGCTCCTCAGGGGCACTGCTGGGGATCAGGGGCCGAAGGTAGCCAGGTTCCACGTCAGGGTAGACCAGGCGGCTCTCAATGCCCTCCAGGTAGTTGGCCACATAATCCACCATCTCCTTCCCTCTCCTGCGGAACTCGCTGGCGTTCATGGCAACAGTGGGTCAGCTGGAGGGTCCACTGTGCAGAGGAATGGAAATCAGAGGCTCAGCAGTTGCCAGCAAGCAAACAACTAGGGCCTGCTGGGTCCAGATCCACGGACCCAGAGGCCACCTTCCTATGGTTGGATGAGATGACACTGCCCCTCCATCACAGAGGGTAACCCTGTGTCTGCCTGCGTTACTTCCTGCATTGGTGCTGCTTGCAGGAAAAGCACAGATCATTAATGCATGGGGAGTTCCGGCGCTGACCATGGGCCAGTCCAGGTTCTGCAAGCTCTGCTGCTGCCCTTCTGCAGCCACCCAGGCCAGAGGGATCTAGGATTTCCCGAGAGAACTGGGTTGGAAGGCAGGAGGACACAGGGAAAGCCGGCTCCCCAAAACTACAGACAGCGCCTGACTCTGACAATTGGAACCCAGCAGGGCAGACAAGTGGGCACATCCGCTTTGGGCTTGGGGGTTCAGCGGTGGGGAGATCAGCTCTTCAGAACCTAGGCAGAGCACCCACCTCTTAGGACACACATGCTTAGAATATACGAAGCACCCTCAAGTGACCCCAATTTTAGTTCATTACAATGTCATTTACACTGTGGTTCTGATGGGCCCCCAACACGAGCTTTGGGTGCTGAAACAATTGTTCAAAAGTCACAGAGGGACACGTGGACACCGGGAACAGGAAGGAGGAGACGTCCTTGGCTGGAGTGAGGTGCTGGCCCCATCCAGAGCAGCAAGAGCCAACCACTAAGATCTGTGGCCTGGCTTCCCCCAGGCTCTTGCTCCAGGTCCTGGTCTCTCCCACCTGGGGGAGTGCAAGGATCTCCCATCTTCACTAATAAATCCACCCTTTCATTTCTACCTCTGTGTGACCTTCTTGATTCTCTGTTAAGGATACTGTGCACCTAACAACACCACAGCCCCAGTATCCAAGGGGGCTGACCTGAGTATCATGTTCCCAGATCTCTTTGTGCCCCCATGGTCTATGCTGGGATTTTAAATAATTTTTCATGATGTTAAAGGTATTTTCAAAAAGGTGTTCATATGACACTTGCAAAAATGCCAGGAGAGATTTTCCTCAAGGCTAATGCTGTCCGAGGGCAGGGAGACAGAGCTCAGCTTGGAGTACAGCAGGCACCAACGGGGAACACAGAGGAACAGGACCAACAGGACCCACGTGTCATCACAGGAGAGGGTTTAACACATTGGCTCACATGATCAGAGGCTGGACGGGCTACGAGGGTCAGCTGCAGGACTGGAGCTGGAGGACCTGTAGCCGCTGAGACCAAGAAGCTGGAGGCCACAGAACACCAAGGACCAAAGATGCGGCCCCAGGGGAGAACCAGAGTCTGGGCGCTCTCTGGGGAGCTGCTGATGTGGGCCCTGGGCTCTGAGGTCCATGGGCAATGGTGGCAGCAGCAACAATGACAACTCACCCCTTAGGATTGACCTTGCTTCATTTCAGGCCCCCAGGCCATTGGACAGTGCTGCCTATAGAGCAGGTTGACCCCTCCATTGGCTGGCCCACATGCCAGTCATCTCTGGACATCCTACAGACACACCCAGAAGGGAGCTTGACTAATTTCCTGGGCTCTCTCAATTCAATCAAGTTGAGATCCAAGATTAACCCTCGCAGCAGGGAGATAAAAGGGGTGGCTTGGCATTGAGGGTGGGCGGGACCAGAACTGGGTTGGCCACCAAGACCTAATGCCAAGCTGGATGCTCAGGATCCTGCTTGCACAGGCCCTGCAGCCAGCCAGGAAGCAATGAGAGGAGCCTGCTGCCAGGCCACAGAGCTCGCCAGGGCCAGGTGACTTTGCCCAAACCTGCTGCTCCCGCCCTGGGTTCTGTCTCCCTGTCCTTCTGCAGAGGGTTTGAAGCCACAGGAAGGATGCGTAGATGATTGTGGGTTATCTCGGGGTCTGATTGAACCCACACCCTGTTTAAGAGTGGTTTGATGAGCATTTTCAGCATCACTGCTCTGGTGACAGTGATTGGGATGTGAGACCCTGAATTACAGTGCCAACCCACAGCAGAGAGAACCACGCTGTCTGAACTTCCCCTGTGTCTTGGCTGCAGGAACTGAGGGCCTTGGAGGATCGTACTGTCAGCCACAATGTAACAGGACTGCCATATCTACTGCCCCACGAGAGGGCAGCTTCGTTTCCAGCTGTGCTGAAGATGCTTGCAGGTGACGTGGGTGGAACTTGCAGCCTCAGGGCTGCTCTTTCTGCAGTCGCTTGCTCTGCACAGTGATTATGAGGCACCTGTCCCAGGTGACAAGCTTTTTGGTCCTGTGGCTTCTTGAGACTGCGAGAAGGACACTTCATAATGTGCACGGGCCACACCAGCAGGTGTCCCTGCCACAGGCCACTCTGATCCTTTCTGTGTCCTCCTATGGACCCCAGGAGCTGACAGCCCAGGATGCAGGGCCGAGGTCAGATCCCAGTGCTCATGGTTACTCTCTGTGTGACCTGGGAAAACTCTGCCTGGCTAAGAAGCCAAAACAAAACATCGCAGCAAGACACTGTCTTGAAGAGAACATTGAGACAAATAATCACTCAGGAACATCATGGTCAGTATACAAAATCACCCATCCAGGAACGTCTGTGACAATATCCTGCCTTATCTGCTATTTGACATTTCCGAATTCAATGACTTGAAGTCAACGCTGGTCCAAATATATTAAATGGAAATTTCTAGAAATAAACATTTCATAAAGTCTGAGTTGAGTGCTGTTCTAAGTGGCAGATGGATCCTTCCTGCTCACCCAGGGCTCAGAGCATCTGCGCAATCCACACTGCGCGTAAGCTGCCTGCATGGTGATCACTTCATTAGTGACACCATATCTGACGTTCATACTCAATAACCTTTGATTTACTTAACATGGTCATTATCCTATCTCACTCATACTTAATTGCTGGCAATCACTCACTGTGCCTAATTTATAAATTAAATTTCATCATAGTTATGTTTGGATAGGGAAAGACATGAGGTTCCAGGGTTGTCATCCTTGGCATCAGGTATTTGCTGAAGGTCTTGGAATAGATCTCCTTTGGATAAGGGAGCACTATTGCTTTTTCTTTTTTTGGCGCTAAAGATTAAACTCAGGGCCTTCTCACTGAGCTACATTCCGAGCCCTGTTTTATATTTAATTTGAGAATGGGTTTCACTAAGTTACTCACACTGAAATCAAAATTAGCATCCTCCTGCCTCAGCCTCCCAGAGTACTGGGATTGCAGGCATGTACTGTCATGCCCAGGTAGATATTCCTTATTTCATTGCAAGGGTTTGTCTGTTTTGCAGACATTTCCTTGTTTGATTTGATTTTCATTTTATTCTGGTTTCTGGCAAAATCTTTATCTTTCCTTCATGATTTGGAGCTTATGTGAGACTATAAAAAACATTTTCTTAAACTGGGTGTGGTGGTGCACGGCTGTAACCCCAGAGCTATGGGAGGCTGAGGCAGGAGTATCACAAGTTCGAGCCTAGCCCATATATTTAGTAATGTAAAGAAAGCCTATCTTTAAAAAAAAAAAAAAATGAACAGGTCTAGGGATGTAGAAAGCCCTGGGTTTAACCCCTATGTAGTGGCTGACACATGGGTCAACCTGAGAAGCCTAGAAGTTTAAGAGACTCAGCAGGGGCCAGGGTCCTCACTCTGTAAACATCCCATCCTGAGCAAGAGGAGGGCAGGAGAGATGGTGTGAGTGCTGCACCAGCCCTGGCGGGGTCCTGCTTACAACAGAAGGGAAGAAAAGAGGCCCGCTCTCCCGCCTATTCCTCTTGCTGACTTCTGCCAGCTTGAAGTGTTGGCCCTGGGTCATGCCACCCTGCCTTGGAGCCAGCTGATCACAGACTGAAACCTCCACAGATTGTGAGCTAAATAAACCTTTCCTTCTTTCACTTTGGTATCAGGTATTTTGTCTCAGCAAAGAGAGAAAAAAAACTAAGACACTCCAGTACCACAAAGGGAAGAGAAACGTCTTCTCAGTAATTATTCTAGCTCTACTTCTGCTGTTTGTGCCATGTGGAAGGAAGAAGCGTGCAGGGCCAAAGGCTGGGCAGGGCTCAGGGAGACCCCAGCCCTGAACGCTGCATGCGTCTCTGAGGATAGAAGCCGGGCTGAGTGCAGATCGGGGTCTCAGAGGAGCCTGAGGAACCGAGGATCTGTGGCCCTATGCTCAGCATGGGGTAAGGCCTGCCAGGCAGCCCGAGTAGGGCCTGCCATTCGGACCCCATCACTCCCTACCCTATGTTTGTAGACTGATTCCTGGCACGAGCTCTCCAGAGAGCCCTGAGTGGCTTGGTACTGCCCACCCCGGGGGGCTGGCCCAACATTCCCGGAAAATGCCTACTCTTTCCCACCTGCCCTGTGTTTGCTGGATGCCTGCTTCTCTCTCTCTGTCTTTTTTCCTTTTTCTTTTTCTGGTCCTGGGGGTTAAACCCAGGGCCTTCACCCTGACCTGCATCCCCAGGCTTCTTCACTTTTTATTCTGAGGCCCGGCCTCTCTAAGTTGCTCAGGCTGGTCTCAAATTTGTGATCCTCCTGCCTCAGCCTCCCAGAGTGCTGGGATGACAGGCCTGTGCTGTCACTGCCTGGCCTCGGGTACCGGCCCCAGCAAGCGCCTGGGTGCTGCTGAGTGGGGAAGGAGCAGCTGCTCCTCACTTCCTAAAATACCACATTTCTGACTTAGCCCACAGGGGACCCCATTCTCCACCAAGGGGCATCCTGCAGACTCAGCCACAGCACAGCAGGCCTCCCTGCAGGGCTCCCCCTGACTCTGGCCTGCCTAAGCCCACCTCAGCCCACAGCACTGTGGCCCTACACTGCTGTGTTCAGTCCATGGTCCTGCCTGGCACCTCCCCAGCCTCTCCTCCCACCCTGATGAACAGAATCAAAGGAAGCCTGATTGATGCCCGAAAGTCCTGTTGCATCTGGGGCAGCAGGCCTGCTTCCCGCCTCCCCAAACACACAGGAATCTTGGCCTCAGAGGAGCCTGGCTGATTCTTCCCCATACGCCTGGC